TAGTAGTAGTAGTAGTTTTGGAAAATGCCTCTGGGTATTAAATAAATGTGATGATGATGATGATGATGATGGTTATGATGACGATATATACTATGAATTTTTTGCTACTCGTTTGTGTAGGTTACTTACCATAAACTTGAGGTACGCTTCGCATGTCAATGGCTCTGCATCTTCGTTGCAGACAGTGCATCTTGTCAATTCTGTTGATTGACTGACCATCGTCTTCATCTTCTCTCACGCAAGAATCCATTTTTTTCTCGACTCGCGAATCGTAATCAGCAGAGAGCGATAAGAAGTTGTGTCTGACGTCTGATTAATTATTCAATAGTTATCTGACGTCATTTTAGGCTTCCTACATTCTGATTGGCTAAAAGAAACATATATTTGCTTATGTGTACTGCAGAAAAAAAATACGCAAACCGGACCTCCTGTCCCACTCTAACTTTGTTGGGGTGATTGAGTGGGAATCACACCATACTCTTACCAAGGGATGTTCATGAACAATCTGCCGTTTTTGAGAAATCGTTACTCTTACCTTACACCCCTTAACAGTATAAAAATGAGTGAAAATTATAAAAAGGTGTGGCCATTAAACCGGACCTCCGGGGGGTGGGGGGTTGAGGGTGTATTGCACCATAACTCAATCAAGGGATTTCCAGGAACAATCTGCCGTTTTCGAGTAATTGTTCTCCAAATTTACACCCCTCCCGCCTTAAAATTCCTCCCACCTGAAATTCAGTGGAAATTTTCAAAAATTGGGCTATTAAACGGGACCCCCAGTCCCACTTTAACTTCGATGGGGTGAATGAGGAATTATCACACCATAATCATACCAGTACGAAAATGAGGAAAATTAGAGTGGTGGGGGCTATTAAACGGGACCTCCGGTTCCACTATAACTTCGATGCGGTGAATGAGGGGGTATCACATCATAACCCCACCAAGAGATTTCCAGGAACAATCTGCCGTTTTCGAGCAATCGTTACCTACATTTACACCCCTCCCGCATACCAGTACGAAAATGAGGAAAATTAAAGTGGTTGGGGCTATTAAACGGGACCTCCGGTCGCACTATAACTTCGATGCAGTGAATGAGGGGGTATCACAACATAACCCCACGAAGGGATTTCCAGGAACAATCTGCCGTTTTCGAGCAATCGTTACCTACATTTACACCCCTCCCGCATACCAGTACGAAAATGAGGAAAATTAAAGTGGTGGGGGCTATTAAACAGGACCTCCGGTCCCACTCTAACTTTGATGCGGTGAATGAGAGGGTATCACAACATAATCCCACCAAGGGATTTCCAGGAACAATCTGCCCTTTTCGAGCAATCGTTACCTACATTTACACCCCCCCACCCACATACCAGTACGAAAATGACGAATAATTAAAGTGGTGGATGCTATTAAACAGGACCTCCAGTCCCACTCTACCTTTGATGCAGTGAATGAGGGGGTATCACAACATAATCCCACGAAGGGATTTCCAGGAACAATCTGCCGTTTTCGAGCAATCGTTATCTACATTTACACCCCTCCCGCATACCAGTACGGAAATGAAGAAAATTAAAGTGGTGGAGGCTATTAAACAGGACCTACGGTCCCACTCTAACTTTGATGCGGTTAATGAGGGGGTATCACAACATAATCCCACGAAGGGATTTCTAGGAACAATCTGCTGTTTTCGAGCAATCGTTATCTACATTTACACCCCTCCCGCATACCAGTACGAAAATGAGGAAAATTAAAGTGGTGGGGGATATTAAACGGGACCTCCGGTCCCACTCTAACTTTGATGTGGTGAATGAGGGGGTATCACATCATAACCCCACCAAGGGATTTTCAGGAACAATCTGCCGTTTTCGAGCAATCGTTACCTACATTTACACCCCTCCGCATACCAGTACGAAAATGAGGAAAATTAAAACACATATTAAAAGGGACCTCCTGTCCCACTCTAACTTCTATGCGGTGAATGAGGGGGTATCACATCATAACCCCTGGCCACCATGGGATTTCCAGGAACAATTTGCCGTTTTCGAGGACTCGTTACCTATATTTACACCCCTCCCGCATACCAGTACGAAAATGAGGAAAATTTATGTGGTGGGGGCTATTTAACGGGCCTCCGGTCCCACTCTAACTTCGTTGTGGTGAAAATTATAAAAAGGTTAGCAATAATTATCTACATTTACACCCCTTGCGCAGACCAGTAGGCCTGTTAAAATGAGTGAAAACTAAAAAAGGTGGGGGAAAACGTGAGCTCCGGTCCCTATCTAGGCTTAACCTTGATAATAATAATAAGGGGATAACATCATAGGCCTAAGTGTTTTTTAGGAACTATCTGTCGTTTTCGAACAATATTGTTCCCAACTCCCCTCCGATTGTCCCGTCCCCTTCCCCTTATCTCGCCATCCACTAATTTTTATACTATTAATGTTACCCATCCACCCACCCCCACACCTTCTATTCCCTCAGCAGTGGTCAATAAAACTGTGCTTCGCCGCCGCACCCACGGTGAAGTAAATAGTGAAACTGCAGTCCAACGCGATCGTATGTTATCTGGATTGTTGGCTGGAATTGTGGGCTGGCTTGTTGTTGGCTGGCTTATTGTTGGCTAACTTGACTCAAGTCCATAACACAGTACCCCCTAGTTCCGTCGCCTCTGGGTTTTTAATACATGGGTTCCCACTGGGGCGAATCCCGAAAGTTTTCAAACGGGGTTGGGTGAGGGCGCCAGTCTCAGAATAGGTAAGTGAGTAGCACATACTGTAACATTGATTTGCCTTAAAAAATTTATAATTCAATGGCAAAACGTCTGCCCCCCCCCCCCCCCCCGATCTACCCCTGGTTTCCCTCTGATCCCCTCTGTCATTTCATGACAGTATAGGCCAAGCCTAGTTTCACCAAGTCACGTAGGTTAAAACTCTAAAAATGACCATTAAGTTTTCAAGTGGGTTGGTTTAGATGATAATGTCAACCCGGAAATTGACTGTGCACAGACAATAATAATGAGATCCACATGATCAGGTTTGTCTTTATTTATTAATAATTATAGATTATATTTAATTCATTCCGTATGTGTACTATCAAAATCTGATTTAAGTGTGGTGTAAGCAAAAATTTTAAGAGTAGGCCTAGTATTTACAAAGAATTAATAAAAACAAGACGTGTTGTTTAAAGGTTTTCAGAATTTCTTCAGACAATTTACTAGGCCCTAAGCCTACTATTGGCTAGGCCTAGCTATCCTATAGGAGTGTAGTGTACGGCGGTAGGCCTCCTAGATGTAGGCCTAGTAGGCTAGTTCATAGGCCTAGGTAGGTATGACTGAGTAATTCACTGCGGGCTAGCCTAGGCCTAGATAGACACTCAGAGGCTAGTAGGCCAGCGATCAGAAAGCATTTTTGGTCCAAGACCCCTGTAACCAATTATAGCTTATATGTTTCTAGGTATCCATCGCATTATTATTGAAGGAATAAAGAATTAAAAGAAGACTCAAATAATTTAAAAAGCCAACAGAACTAGGCTAGGCCTAGGAATTCTAAAAGATTGGTTGATACGGATGCCAGTCAACTCCCCCCCCCCCCCCCCCCAACTTGCCCCTTGCAATCTTGCCCCTTGCAAACTTGCCCCTTGCAATCTTGCCCCTTGCAATCTTGCCCCTTGCAATCTTGCCCCTTGCAATCTTCCCCCTTACAAACTCGCCCCTTAACAAACTCGCCCACTAACAAACTCGCCCCCTACAAACTCGCCCACTAACAAACTCGCCCATAACCTTTCTGTTATGTAGGAGGTACCTAGGTGGGTGAAATGTACCGTAAATTCTACTTTCTGCTATAGCGTACTTAGTAATAGTATTAATTTGATTAATTTGTCTTATTTACGATGCCTGACTAATACATTTTTGTATCTTTTCAGTATGAATGATTATTATAAGTTTTTTACGATTTTTATTGTTTCAGAGTCTTTCATTACAATTAATATGAATTTATTATAAGCATGTTTTTTAGTCCAGTATGTAGTGTTTGATATTGAAAAATAATGTTCTTTTACATTTTGAAAACAATGCAATATACTCTTTATTTATTGTCAAAATAAACTTTCGTTCCATTTGAGATGTGTTTTGCATACATAGGCCTACTTGGGTGAAATATAAAAATAACCATCTAAATAATACAAATCATCACATACTTATACACTTGTACAGCAAGTACAATAATTATGATGATCAGCAGATAGCAGACGATCTAAAGTTGGTGATATGTATAAAGTAGGTGAACACACGTAACACCTTCACTGTCATCGCACGTGTTTGCACCTAAAAATAGATTGTGTATTTAGCATCTGACCAGTAATGCGCCAACATTCCTGAAGGCGGCGTACAAAGAATGTCTGCTTACCCTGAAGAGTACTGTGGGAACCAAGTTAGTTGAGGGAGTTTCTTCTTGAGGGGAGAGTTTGTAAGGGGGAAAGATTGCAAGGGGCAAGGATGATGAATGAAGGAACTTTAACCATTTATATTTTATTGGTATGTGGCCCTAAATTAATTGTGTAGGTATGTGTTATGCCTATTTATTATTTTGATTTTGAAAATTTTTCCTAGCCAAACTAAGGCAAAAATTTACCTTTTGCCTTGTGTTAATATTTTTATTTTTCAATAAATTGTAATATTGTGTATGGCAGTTCGCCATGTAATGCTCAAGTTGGTGTGCCCGATTCCAATATATGTTCTGGATGCAAAGACTGGATCTTCACTATGTAATATTGTAGTGATATGACAAGCGAGATGGTTTACTTTTAATAACTGAACTGACTACATCTCTTCTGGTTATAATGCAAAGCGTTTATTTACTATTCTACTGCATGATATATACAATATATACAAGTAGGGTTGTGAGACGTAGTGTTTCCTTCAAGGTATCAGAAGGAAGTCTTCTCTAGATAACTTTACTTTTCATACAAGCTTGGGGTGTGGTGGACTTTCTCTGATTGGTTGAAAGATATCACCTTATCCTAATCATTTGACTATTACATCATTTTGGGGAGTTTCTATTGGTCAGATAATATAACAACTTTGGGGGTAGAACTTAACTTATATTTAGTAAACGAGCTGTCTCTCATTCGAGCTTATTTTATAAATCAAATGTAAGGAGTTGACCACTTGGGCTTTTTGTCACGAATTGGCTATTGTCCTGTCAAAGACTTCATATATACAATAATTAAGGAGACATTTAACAGATGTCTAATGGGTTAGTGAGGTAATGGTGTAGTGAGGTAAAAGTTCAGTCCAATGGTTTTATTGATTTGGCCTATATTAAGTTATCTTAATACTATATAACATCCCTTTCGGCTTTTTTTTTTTTTTTTTTTTTTTTTAAATGTTATATTTGATTATTGAGAAAAAATTAAAACAATTATATGGTATATTATTCAATCAATTATTAATTAAAAGGAAAGTTAAAACATGCAAAACATTCAATAATAAATTCAGTGTTTCCTTCGGTGCAAAAAGAGTAGAAGTTGAACTCATTGAAAATTTAAAACCCATCACAATCACTCTCTCTGTCTCTCTATTTTTTGAAAAAAAAATCATCTTAAACTACTAAAAACATCTTAACTACACTGATATGTACTTGGTCCGTAGATCATTGTAGTCATTGTGTGGGGGGTATTGGCATCCGATGGAAACCAATATGACTTAATGTCTATGGGGGGATTCCAAGCACAATATCAATTCATTATTAACTACAATTTAATCATGTATTCAAGGCAATGCGAAAAGAAATTGGCAACTGTATGTACCTTCCGTACAGTAGAGAATACTGACATTTGGAGTGTTGGCATCCCTGGTGCTCCAGGAAGAAATTTGTACCAACATGACTGCATGCTATATGTCGGTCCCGGTAAATACAGGATCGCTAAACAACTGATTTAACGACCTAGCCTCGCATTCCCGAATTGAACAATGAAAAAATCCCAATTAATGAATGAATAATAAATTGAAAAATAACTGAAACAAAGTGGAAAACAAATAATAAATTTAAAAATCAAATTGAAATCGAAAATCAAACTTGCAATATTTTTCTTTAATAGGAAAGAAAATCTAAAATACAAAGCCTAATAGCTACATATATTTGTCATTGTCATATACTTAACGTTTACCTTTCCATTGTTATTTTTACATTGCATACTCTACAGCATTCCCTACGATCAGCGGTTGTCGCATAGCAAACGCGATGACAGAGTTTGCTACAATATCTTAGAAACAGACAGTCCAACTTTTTTGTTGGGAAGGGTCCTCCGCAGAGAGTACATGGCTCGTTTCCTTTACGTTCATGTTTTTCCCAAAAGTGTATGCGTCTACGTGTGTAGGATTTGAAGTATTCATTGTAACGTGTGATGGAATAGCCATATGGTGAATTTTGGTTGACTCTGAGGTGTCGGTAAAGGTGCACGAATGGTATGCCAATGTTATTTTCTATTGTGGTGTAAAACCTGTAACACTGCAGTGCACCAATGTCTTTAGCAAGGGCTAGTATGACAAGTGACATATGGTGATAATTTGTTTCTTGATAATTAGAACTATTTGAGATACAATTGGCTATGCCATTTGTGTTAAGTGACAATTGTAAAAGTGGAGATTTGTGTAACGTTGAAATGTCTCTGTGGTTCCAAATATAGTCTATAATGGGACTAGTATCATTGTCGAAACAGCATAAATAATTTCCTATATGGATGAGTGATATCAATTTAATTTTACGAAACGGTGGCGTGTACTGTAGGTTTCCGAGATATACAAGAACGTTTTGAAGGTCCTCCCGCGAAAATGGCATATCGTCTGTTATTATTAAGATGATATGCCCATTGACATATTTACGCGCAGTGTTAAGGAATGGAGAATTGTTAAATAAAGCCTGCAATGACAATCGCTCCTTTATACATAAATCTGTAACGTCTAGTCTTGCCATATCCGACGTGTACGATCAAATCTTAAACTACAAAGTAAATAAAAGCAATATTCAAATGAGGTTCGCCACACTTTGCGACTAGTTGTTGAGATATGTCGGCCCGTCCGTACGTATTTTAATTTTATATACATTTCGTGTAGTCTTTCAACTCTACACCACCCTCAAGTGTGCTTTTCATATGAATATTGAATATAATGTCAATGCTTAACTAAGAAATCAAAAGTAAAACGTTTGTCGTAAGAATGCGTGACAATCGTGCATTTCGTTAAGAAACAAATTAACAGATTTAAGAATAAAAATTGCGTTTTGTAACGCCTTACATTAGCAATCAGTTATTAACTAAGACAGCAACCATTTGGTTGTTTTTCTGTACATAATATTTTTAATTTACTTGCATGTGAAGACTCAACAAGTGATCAATCTTGTTATTTAATGTCTTAGCGAAGTTAGGATTTAAAATTGTAATCTCATTTTAGTTAAATTATACATTTCGTATTATGAAGTTACAAACTCATAAAACAAATATAAATGAAAATCAAATCAAATATGCTAATGTATGTTAAACAGTTATTGGAGATTCTATGCATAATTATAGCAGGTTGTACTCAGTACTGTAAATTTCGTGATACTGGTACTCAATAATCTCCTGTTTATATAATATACACTCAAAGTAGACTTTCATACAATCATTACAAATGAAAAAAAACATAAATATATGATCGTCCATATATGTTGTTTAATTATAAATCGTTCAATCATATTAGTAATTTGTTATGTTATACAACTTCTTTAAGAATTGTTTTGGCGAACCGCGTATTTGTATTTTGTTTTCAAGTAAAATCTGTTTAACTAAATCTTTTAGTATCGGTGTATCTATCAATATTCCACCAAAATCTGCATTCTTTGAATTTATATTCCTTATTGCTAAGGTAATCTGTATCGAGTTTTGTGTACGAAACCAATACTTGTAAATGACCCGCTTTAAATCTTGCTCGTATTAAGGTCATAGTTGTATCGACTTGAGCTTCCATAAAACGGATTGTCGTTTAATTTGCTCCTCTT